CATATCATATGTCATACCATACCATACCTCCTACAATGCCCTACTATACCATAGCATACCATGCCATATCATAGCATAGCATATGCCATACCATACCATATCATTTCATGTCATACCATACTATATGCCATAGCTTATCATACCATACCAAATCATATGCCATACTATACCATACAATGCAATACCATGCTATACCATACCACATGATATGTCATACCATACCTCCTACAATTCCCTACTTTACCATACCATACCATAGCTTATGCCATATCATATGTCATGCCATACCATATGCCATAGCCTATCATTTGCCATACCATACCATACCATATGGAATGCCCTACCATACCATTCCATACCATATGCCATACTCCACACCATGCCATATCATATGCCATACCATCTCATGTCATACCATACCATATGTCATACCATACCATATGCCATACCTTATACCATATCATATGCCATACAATATGCAATGCAATGCCTTATCATAGCATACCATACCATTATCATACCATACCATACCACATACAATGTCCTACTATACCATACCATAGCAAACCATATACCATGCCATATCATATACCATATCATAAGCCATACCATGTGCCATACCATATCATATGCCATACCATACAACATGTAATGCCCTACCATACCATATACCACACCATACCAAACAATATGTCATGCCATATCAAATGCCATACCATATCATATGCCATACCATACCATATCATATGCCACACCATACCTTATACCATTTTCCATACCATACCATGTCACACCATACCATATACCATACATTATATCATGTCCTGCCATACCATACCATATGTCATACCTTATACCATACCATATCATATGCCATACTATACCATATGCAATGCAGTACCATACCATATAATATAATACCATACCATACCATATGCTATACCATATTATATGTCATACCATACCATACCTCCTACAATGCCCTAGTAAACCATACCATAGCATTCCATGCCATATCATACGCCATACCATACAAAATGCAATGCCCTAGCATACCATACCATACCATGCACCACACCATACGATACCATATCATATGCCATACCATCTCATATGTCATACCATACCATATGCCATACCTTATCATACCATATCATATGCCATACCATACCATATGTAATGCCATACCAAATCATAGCATAGCATAGCATGTCGTACCATACCATTTGCTATACCATACCATATATGCCATACCATAGCACATGCCATATCATATCATACCATACCACATACAACACCCTACTATACCATACCATATACCAAGCCATATCATACCATATCATATGCCATACCATACCATATGCAATACAATTCCAGTCACCTGAGAATGTTCTTCAACAGTTTCATATTCTGCATTGTCTTCACATGTGTATCCATCCATACTTTTCCCTCCTGCTTTCAACAGCCTGGTGAGATGTTGTGGATGGAATCCAACCATGGCTCTGTAAGGACTGCAACCTACAATATATAATGCACAGTATCCCAGAAAACACTTAGAACAAACCACAGACAAAAACAGCTTGTATCAGCGTGGACTTGTTACAAAATGTTACAGGTAGACCAGTGGTGGGACTGTGCAATGCAACAGTCATCAGGACTTATTTTCTGAGTATTTTTGTGGGATGAGATAATGCCATGATCAGGGCCATTTTCTTCACTCTTAAATATCTTACCAATTGCTGAGTTGACCGATTCATTATGAATGCGGCAATAGTCAGGAAGACTGTCTACCCAGGAGATATCAATCCAGGTGCTGAAGGTCATACCGCAAACAGTCCTTCCACACTCTATGTGAACGCTCGTCATGAAATTATGAAAATTACGTTTATGTTTGAAAATATCCTCTTCATTAAAGGCTTCCTTTAATATGCTAGCAGTGAAAATATTGTGTCAAATGCAAATACCTATTTTGACTTCTGTCATACGTTCCCATGTTGTAACAGGTGAGACTTGCCTTTACAAGTGTTTTGGATGGGTGCCACTGCTCACCTTTTCACCTCTGGTATCATCACATGCTGATGATTTAGTAGGAATCATATATTCGACTCATCATACATCCGATTTCTTATTGATGTGGAGTGGTTTTTGTTGCTTTTATCTTGGGAAACATATGTACAGGGGTGGTGAGGTAGCTTTTGACAGTTTTCTTATAATTATCAAAGGGGTTTAGTTCCATTATTTGTTTTCATCTGTATTTACAGATATATCACCACTGTCCTCCGTGGCAATCATTTTTATCCGATACACACACCCCACACAACCCACACATAAATTATGAACGGTCCCTTACTACAAATATAAGGACCTACATGCAAAATGCAGCTTGGCTGGAAACAGACTCTACCTGTTATTATTGAAGACAATTTCTTACCTTTCCTTGAGACTGTGGGTGGTAGGCTTGAGAATGGATGAGCCTGACTCCAAGTTTTTCACAGAGTGAATTCATCATGCCTTTAAACTCGCCACCCTGATCTGCTTGGATAATTTTTGGAGCACCCCATTGCTGATCTAAGTACACCTGCACTAAACTTTTAACAACACTCTGTGATGTTTTGTCACATAGTGGCTGTAGCCATAAAAACCTAGAAAAAACATCCAGTATAGACAACACAAAGCGATAGGTGATCCCATCTTTGGTTTCTAACTTGCTGCTGAAGTCTACTAAGTCAATTTGGTGTCTTTCAAAAGGTACACATGCTCTCACAGGTTTTAAGGGTGCCTTATTTTGGAAGGTTGGATGCAACTTTGTCAAACTGCTGCTTCTGTGGACGTAACGTTCTATTTGGGGCCTGCTTGTTCCATGGAAATGCTGAGATATTGTGAAATATAGACGTTGGTTCTCCGCCCTTTGTCATTTGACAAAATGCTTCTACAATATTCTCTATTTCATCACTTTTGGGGACAATTTTACCCAGTGAAAGGATTCTCTTTTCTTTTTCACCAGAAACTGGGTTGTGAATATCTTTGAGACAAAGTTTATATTTGCTAATTTTCTTATATGCTAATTTTTTAATTAAAGATCTCTCTTTCACTGGAACATTGATGCTTGCAGAAAGTATGGCTTCCACTGAATTGTAGAGCTCTGGTGACAAGCATGGTGGAGGCATTGTGTCCTGAAGGAAGGAAAAGAATATTTAACTATTGTTATACTTGGGATTACACTTTCTTTGTAAAAGAATATTGATCTTGTGACATATTTTTCAATTAACTGTATCAGATATGTTATTGATCATACTTTTATGATAGAGCTCAATAAATTTTAAACATTCAGTATTTATTGTTAAGTTGATTATAATTATACTCTTATTAAACATAATTTATTCATCTAGATGTGCAGCTTTTTTTATAACATTTGTAAAAAGTTACTGCCCGAGAAAGGTAAAAAACTGATATGAGCAAATGCTATAGAAAATATATAATATATTATCCCATCGATGACATTATGTACTTGGAGGTTTGGTACAGAGTAAGAATACATGAATTGCATCTCTTTCTCCACTTTCTGATGTCTTATTAGTATTTATTAGTATTTTCCTGGTATTTAGTAGTGATATGTACTGTAATTTTGTGTCAAACATAATTCCTAGCACTTGCCTTACCAGTCAAGGGGAAGCATGAACAGATTTTAATAGAACTACACATTGATACAATACAGATAATACAAATCTAGTCAATGTTAACTTATTAATCTTGACATGTTATGAAATAAGTAATAGTTGCAAATTTGATTTTAAACTTTCTTCTGAGTTATACAGAATTTTGTATATGCCTTCAATAAATTGACCTAATACAAAAGGATATTTATGAAATAATGGTATTATAATTCCCTTTATACTTGAATGTGGAATACATGTAATGACATTTCAGTCATTTGGTTGTTATTGTTTATATCTTTGACGTATCTGTAAATCCATATTTCTATATATCTTTGATATGTTAAACATTTCTCTTCAGTTAAAATCAAGACTCGATCTGTTATTATTATTATATTCATTCTGCCATATCAATGGCTAGATTGTAATTTCAGTTGTGTAAGCTATTCTTCATTTTTATATTATCTTCAGTATTTAAAATAACAGTTAAAAATAATATTTCTTAGACATTTGATATCAGTTTACCATCACATTTTCCCCATTTCTGTGTTGCTGATTTTTTTTGTGATGTCACAAATTAATTCATGTTTGTTTCTCATTCTACAATTGAATTCCATGTGATATCTGTTTTCCATGTTATTTTCTGTTGATATTTTTAACACCTTGATGACATACCTTCACTTATACTAAGGAAGTTTTCTCTTATACTTTCTGTATTTATTATTTCTAGCTCACCAAATGTTTCCTTTAAATGGCTGAATAAATCATCAATTTTTCACATTATATTTGAAAAGTCATTTTCCATCTTACTCACATCAGGATCAGTAACATATAATTCCTTGTTCAACTTATATATGTTTTTACTCTACTGTTTTGTTTAAGTTCTCTTTTCAATTCTCTTCAAGGTTGGGCGAGGTTATAAATATCTACTTCATTTCTAGGTTCTGAATTGTTTATGCAATAATGTAATTGCCTAAATCAGCTGTGGGGTCACAAACTAAAGTTCAATCATTATGCTACTATATTGACTCATTCTCAGATTCTTGAAAACAAATAGGGTCACCATTTGTAAGAGTTAATTGTAACAGGGATGAAATCAAACATATTTTATATTTGTTTACTTGTACCAATCAGGTTTTATCATTGTATATAGTGTATAGGATTGTTCAACAGACTACCGCTTGTTTATAATAAGTAATCTAATTAGTTGCCTGTCTACCTTCTTCTCAGGTATAATACTCTAATAGCTCAATCAGGTTATAGGTTCAGTTCATTCTTCTTTTTAGGGTAGTCAGGTTATTCCATTTTAGTGTAATTGTTTTATTGTCTTGATCAAGGGACTGAAGCCTGATTCTTTGTCTTGATTGGTGATTTTGAATATCTATGTCACCAGCCATTTTAACACCTCTCAGCACCTGTCACATTCACTGCACTGCATCCACCGTACAGATCAGTCCACAGGTTAGTTAAAATTATTACTTACTAAACTAGTCTACTGTATGAAATATATTAAACTTATTGATTGTATTAAATACCTTTAAGTAATCTAATGTGTGATATAGTAAATAGTTAGGGATTTATGAGCATGAATGTTATGAATGGAGTCATGGATGAATGTGTCCGATCTCATTGTAATGGTTGTGTACTATTTTAATCTAAATGCATATTGTAAGATTTATCTGTATGATTATTGTCCAAGGTGTAATAATCAGGAAATTGTAAATATGGAAGTTATGCTATTTAGATTATGTATATGTTGTCTGCATTGTGTACTCACTTTCAACAATGTTATGGTATTTATATTATTTACACTGTAGGTTACACCTTCCGAGTACTGCTCAGTGTTTCGAGCATTGGCGACCACCCAGGTCAGAGGCTACACTTTTGTGTCACCCACAGGGTATGCGTTTTTTATAATTTCTCATCTTGATATGCCAAGATGTAAATGTTATATTGCATGTATATGTATATATGATCAATCAATGCAGATTTAGTATGTGTTTAACTATCAGTGACAATCAACTAACAGTTGTTTGAGTATGAGATGTTTATGAACCTCTTATGTGATTATATTACTGCATATCATATGTATGCATTGGTTTGATAATGATATCTTAATTGTTCTTTGCAATATTTGATTTACCCGTGTGTATATATGTGAATGTGTTTGGAAATATTGACTGTATATTTTGTTGTTATTATTACAGAGTGTCACATGCCACAGCGACACAACAAATAAATACATCTCTCACGACCCGCCGCCTTGGTCATTTTTTTACTGGACCAGCACAGGCTGCAACAATGGAGCCCCCAGTGAGGAGTTGGGTGTAGAAGTGGATCTGACAGGATGTGACGTCAGAGGAGCACCACCCTCAACCCTCACAGTGAGAAAACACCTGTTTGTAAACATCTGTACGCCTATCTGTATGGCCCCATAGTCAAATCAATCTTTGATGACACATAGATACATGTTCATGTGTATGCAGAATGATGCTGTGATGTGACTATGATGTGAATTGATGAATTCATCAAGTTGGACTCAATTGTGAGGCCAATTTTCAACTTTAAACTGTGTGCACACTGACATTGACTCGGTCTATCTTGTGAGCTCACACACATTTGAGCGTGACCACCAAGTAATTTGATCCTACTATTGTCATGTAATACTTATCTATTAGTCTTTAAATGTGAAATTGTGCTTTGCTTTATTGTGCCATATCAGTCTTGACACTTTGTAAATTTGCCAGCAATAATTTATTTGTCTTTGCTGTATTTGGTATACCAAACTTGAACATTGCCAGTTATTGTCCTTTATTGCCAGTTATTGTCATTTACTGTCAGTTATTGTCATTTACCGTTAGTTATTATCATTGATTGATTATACTGCTTTAATATATCTTTAGTCTTTAGTATATAAATACTTAGTCTTGTGTGATTGAGATGTGTGTTTGTGTGAAAGCATAATAAACAGTAGTGTGCTTGTTATCAATTAGATTTATTTCAACATAATTACTTAATTAGTTCATCAGTTAGATTAATTTGAATTGTGTTTTTCCTTCCTTAATTGGCATATATATTTGCCACATCCATTAACGTAAGTATATGCGTGTTATGTAAATAAACATTAGGTCATGTAAAGCTTGTGCACACAGGTAGATACATGCACTCACCATGTCACGCACATAACTAACTCATCTCTCCCTTTACTTCGCATTCAGTCTTCCTTCGTATGAAACTTGTGTAAGTGAAGTTTCATATTGTGTTTATAAGTACATTTATTTATTTCAGCATATTTTCATGAGACATACAGCTCATGAGTAGGGATTTCTGACTTTGGTGTTTTGTGATAAACACTTGCTTGGGTCCGTTTGGATATTGTTGGTCTTGAGTTTGGTCAATCTTGCTGTTGCATTGGTTTAGTTGGTGGCACTTTCTACTTGTTTGCTAGTCTATTGTCATCAAGTGTCTTTTGTGGGACTAGTTGGTGATAGAATTCAGGATTTGATTCTTGGGTTTGTGCTTGGTTCGAGGTCTGGCTGGACTTGTTTTCGTTATTGGTGTTAGTCAGCATTCCTTGAGTTTTCGCATATTGTGGAATTGTTTTGGACAGTCATTGCTGTTAGTCACCATGGAATTCACAGAGCAGGAAATTCAGAATATGCTTGAAGTGTTCCAACGTGGAAAGGAAAAACCCAAAGCCAATACACCTGAAGACTTTGAACAATGGTTGAAAGGCTCCCTTACTGTTAAGACAGAACCTGCAGCAGAAGGACCAAGCACTGCTGCCCAATCCTCTTCCGTTGTCTATCAACGATTTCCCAGGATACCCCCATTTAGCGGTGACAGGCATGGGAAGGATACACCATATGATGTCTGGAGTTATCATGTCAGCAGTCTTCTGGAATCCAAGAGCTATCCCAAGGATGTCAAGGATCAAGCCATTAGGGATTCACTTAAGGGAGATGCCGCTAAGATAGCTGTGAATATGAGGCATGGAAGTGATATCTCCGCACTCCTCAGGAAACTGAAGATCATCTTTGATGTTGCCGACAGAAAGGAATCACGGATGGCTCAGTTTTACAGTGCCAAACAGAAGGATGATGAAGATGTTTCCATGTGGAGTTGTCGATTGGAGGAACTGTTGGCTCATGCAATAAAGGATAGCCCTGGACACATAGATGGAGATGAGATGCTTCGGAACATGCTCTGGACAGGACTAAGACCATCTTTAAAGAACATCTCTCGGCACAAGTTTGATTCATCGGACAGCTTCGATGACCTGTTACAAGCTCTACGGGAAATTGAGAATGACCAGTTGTGCTCTGCCCAGCCAAGTAAACCAACCATAACAGCCACTTCAAAGAGAGCTACAGAGCAGCAGCCTCCTGAATGGAAGAAGGAAATGGATGTCAAGGCCATGCTAAACAAACTAACAACAGAGGTAGCAGAAATCAAACAAGCCAGTACAAGAGGAGAGGACTTACAATATCATGGTAGGGGAAGACAACAAACACCTGGATATCACAATTGGACAAATAACCCTGGTCATGGTTCATCACAAGCAAGATATAATTCTCCGAGAAATACTCAGCAAGGTTATTCAGAGTACCAACCTACAACAGAACAGTATTCTGCAGAACCAAGGACTTGGAATCCGATGGGACCTACTTGCTGGAGATGTGGTCAAGTTGGGCACACACAGTATCATTGCCACGTGAGACTGGACCATAGTAGGAGAGGACGAGCTTTAAACTCACACAGACCTATGGGCAGGGGCCGCCTGTAGGCATCTATGAGCGCCCCAAGCCAAAGCCGATACCTGACAGGCTAGTTGGAAATGCCAATGAAGTGGACGTCATTATTGGAGGAGTGCAGGTTCGATCATTGCTGGATACGGGAGCAACTGTTTCCATTCTATCACAGTCATTCTATGATACATACTTGAAGCATGTTCCCTTGGAGCCTTTACAAGATATCCTTAACATTGAGTGTGCAGGTGGGGAATCTTTACCATATACAGGATATGTTGATGTTAGACTAGAGGCAAAAGGAATCGGATTTGAGGAGCCCATTTCTTGTTTGTTCCTAATCTCCAAAGATACCAACTATAACAACAAAGTGCCAGCATTACTTGGAACAAACATTCTTTCTCACCTAATGGATCAATGCAGGAGCAAACATGGGGTTAAGTTCTTACAGAAGGCTGCTTTGTACACACCTTGGTATTTGGCTATGCGAAGTTTGACTTTACATGAAAAAGAACTTCACAGGAATGGTGGAAAGCTTGGACTTGTGAGGAATGCTGAAGCTGCCAATATCTACATCCCTGCTAACAGTGAAATAGTCATTAGCGGCCAGATAGTTCGAAACTTGAACTTCCCTAAGGTTTGTGCCATACTACAACCCACTGACAGTGCAGCTATTCCAAGCGACCTTGACATTGCCCCGTCTATTGTTGAATACAACTGTGAACATCCTGGAACCGTTGATGTACATGTAGCCAATGTAACCACTCAGACTGTTGTTATCAGACCACGTGCTCTGTTATGTGAACTCCAACCTGTACTAGTCCGAAGTATATTACCTCTTGAGACGGAAGATGGAAGAAAGGTCCTTGAACAAGTCGAGATTGAACAAAAAGGCCTCTCTGAAAAGGAACTGGAGTTAGGATTGAACATCATCACCAAATTCAAAGACATATTTTCAAAAGGGGATGATGACTTAGGCCATAGTACTGCAGTGCAACATCGCATCGACGTTGTCAATGATATCCCATTTAAGCAGCAACATCGCCGAATACCTCCAGCCATGTACGATGAAGTCTACAGTCACCTTCAACAACTTCTGTCTGCTGGAGTGATAAGACCCTCACACAGTCCTTGGGCATCAAATGTGGTTTTAGTACGCAAACACAATGGAGATCTAAGAGTATGTGTGGACTATCGCCAGCTTAATTTGCGGACCTTGAAAGACTCTTATGCTCTGCCACGGGTGGAAGAATTGTTAGATTGTTTGGGCGGCATGAAATACTTCTCCGTTCTTGATATGAAGTCTGGATACCATCAGGTAGAGATACTAGAGAAACACAAAGAAAGAACAGCATTTACTGTTGGGCCACTCGGTTTCTACGAGTTCAATCGGATGCCATTTGGACTTTGTAATGCCCCTGCAACCTACCAACGATTAATGGAAAACTGTCTCTCAGGATTACATCTGAAAATCTGCCTCGTCTATATTGACGATTTGATTATTTTCTCTAAGACCTACGAGGAACATCTGGAACGTTTGGAATGTGTATTTCAACGACTTAGAGAATGCGGCCTCAAACTAGCACCAAAGAAATGCAAATTCTTCAAACATCGTGTGAAATATGTTGGCTATATGGTATCTGAAAAAGGAATTGAGGCAGACCCAGAGAAGATTGAAAAGATCCAAAATTGGCCCACACCAACAAGTCCAGAGCAAGTGCGAAAGTTTTTGGGATTTGCTGGATACTATAGAAAATTTGTCAAGGACTTCTCCAAAATTGCCAAACCTCTATCGGAATTGATGCCAAAGACACATTCAAAGAAATCAAAATCAAAGAAAGACAAAGCTGACCGAGTACAGTGGATATGGGGACCTGTTCAGGAGAAAGCCTTTCAAGAGTTGCGAGATCGTTTGACAACACCTCCTATTCTTGGGTATGTTGACTACTCCAAGCCATTTGAGTTACACATTGATGCAAGCACACATGGATTGGGAGCTGTTTTATATCAGCATCATGATGGACATCTACAAGTCATTGCTTATGCCAGCCGAGGATTGAATAAGTCTGAACGCAACTACTCCGCTCACAAACTGGAGTTCTTATGTCTGAAATGGGCTATAACAGAGAAATTTCATGATTATTTGTACGGCCATGAGTTTTCTGTCCTTACGGATAACAACCCACTCACGTATGTCCTCACCAGTGCCAAGCTAGATGCAACAGGCCATAGATGGCTGGCAGCTTTATCTACTTACAACTTCGACATACAGTATCGTCCAGGAAAGTCAAATGTTGATGCAGATGCACTGTCCCGACTTCAACAGCCAATGATAACATCAGAATCTGTCAATGCTATTTGTAACATGACAGTTGTACCCAGTTTAGTGGAAAGTGTCTGTTTGTCATCAGCAGTAGTAGACGACTCAGGATTAGCCACAACAGAGGATACCTGCGATTTGAATGCACGTGACTGGAGGAGAGCTCAGGCCAAAGATTCTGCCCTGGAAACAGTCATTTCACATCTCCAGGAGTGGAACAAGACTAAAGCATCAAGATTGCATTGGGGATACAGAATTGATCACCTTGAACAAGAGTTTTTCTAACTTCAAATTGTGTCGTGGAGTTCTCTACAGGATAACATCAGTGGATGGAGAAGATTGCAAACAATTAGTGTTGCCAAAGAGATGTAGACAGTCTGTACTTCGTTGTCTTCATGATCAGATTGGCCATCCTGGGCGAGACAGGACGCATTCCCTCATAAAAGAACGATTCTACTGGCCAGGAATGACAAAGAACATTGAGGATTATGTGCAGAACTGTGAAAGATGCCTTAGAAGAAAAACTTCAACAGCAGTGAGCTCCGTTAGTCAACATCAAAACTTCACAGCCTATGGAATTAGTATGCATGGATTTCTTGACCCTTGAACCATCTAAAGGAGGACAACAACACATCTTAGTTGTAACAGATCACTTTACACGGTATGCACAGGCTTATCCTACCAGAAACATGACAGCGAGAACAACAGCTGAAGTTTTCTTTCAAAACTTTGTGGTGCATTACGGCTTACCGAAACGAATCCATTCTGATCAAGGTGCTAATTTTGAAGGAAAGTTGATGACTGAACTCTGCCACCTCACTAACATGGAGAAAAGTCGGACAACACCATACCATCCAATGGGCAACGGTCTCTGCGAAAGATTTAATAGAACACTTCTGAATATGCTTGGAACACTTAACCCTGATGGGAAGAGAGACTGGAAATCTCATGTAGGCCCACTTGTACATGCGTATAACTCTACAAGGCATGAATCAACAGGTTACTCTCCATTTTTTCTGATGTATGGAAGGCATCCCAGACTACCAGTTGACTTGGCATTTGGCCTTGAGATTGAACCAAGTAAATCCAAGTCAGTGTGCCAGTACACCAAAACTCTACGGGATAGACTTAAACAAGCCTATGATCTTGCTTCTAAAGCTGTGAACAAATCTCAAGCAAGACAGAAAGAGACTTATGACGTGAAAGCTAGAGCAGCCATGCTGGAGACGGGAGATCGGGTTCTGGTGAAAATAGTAGCATTTGATGGCAAGCACAAGATTGCTGATAAATGGGAAAAGGACGTCTATGTCGTTCTGAGACAACCAAACCCAGGTATTCCAGTATATATGGTCCAGAAAGAAAATGGAGAAGGGAAGACAAGGACACTCCATAGGAATTTGTTACTTCCTATCGGTTCTTTACCAATCCCAGATGCATCTGCACCAGTATTAAGATCAAAATCCAAGGTGTCAAGACCTCATTCTGGAGCATCTAACCAGAAAGTCCCTGAGGAATTGCAAACCAAGGAGAGTTCAGATGATGATGATGACGACGACGATGATGATGCAATGTTACCTTTGACACGACCAGACCCTTCAGATTCAGTTGGTACACCAGCTGATAGGCCAGCTGAAGGTGAGGTTGAAGTGGATACAGATACCATTCTGGACGTAGATCAAGGTCAAGCAATGGACCACGAAGATCAAGATCAAGCAGACAATTGCACAGATCAAGCTAACGCAGAAGCAGCCAACGTAGCTGACATTCCAGATCTTCCAGCAGTGGAACCTAATGTTCCCCCCACCTGATGCAGCCTCCGGGACATCGTCTCCTGATAGACCTGTATCCGAACATCGTAGGAGAAGGATATTGCCAACCCCACCTCTCCGTAGGTCACAAAGAGCGAGGATACAACCAGGTTGGCAGACAAGTGGAGACTACATTATGGCAGTATCTGCAGTTAACAAGGAAAAATGGATCTCCCGGGCGGATTACCTTAGCTCTCTTATTGCTAAGGGGATATTTTCCAACAAAGCTTCAGATGCTCTAGTTGATCTTGTGACTGGAAAGCTTTCATGACGAGGACGTCATTGGTTGGAGGGGGGAAGTGTGTAACAGGGATGAAATCAAACATATTTTATATTTGTTTACTTGTACCAATCAGGTTTTATCATTGTATATAGTGTATAGGATTGTTCAACAGACTACCGCTTGTTTATAATAAGTAATCTAATTAGTTGCCTGTCTACCTTCATCTCAGGTATAATACTCTAATAGCTCAATCAGGATATAGGGTCAGTTCATTCTTGTTTTAAGGGTAGTCAGGTTATTCCATTTTCGTGTATTTACTCTATTGTCTTGATCAAGGGACTGAAGCCTGATTCTTTGTCTTGGTGATTTTTGAATATCTATGTCACCAGCCATTTTAACACCTCTCAGCACCTGTCACATTCACTGCACTGCATCCACCGTACAGATCAGTCCACAGGTTAGTTAAAATTATTACTTACTAAACTAAGTCTACTGTATGAAATGTATTAAACTTATTTATTGTATTAAATACCTTTAAGTAATCTAATGTGTGACATAGTAAATAGTTAGGGATTTATGAGTATGAATGTTATGAATGGAGTCATGGATGAATGTGTCAGATTTCATTGTAATGGTTGTGTACTATTTTAATCTAAATGCATATTGTAAGATTTATCTGTATGATTATTGTCCAAGGTGTAATAATCAGGAAATTGTAAATATGGAAGTTATGATATTTAGATTATGTATATGTTGTCTGCATTGTGTACTCACTTTCAACAATGTTATGATATTTATATTATTTACACTGTAGGTTACACCTTCCGAGTACTGCTCAGTGTTCCGAGCATTGGCGACCACTCAGGTCAGAGGCTACACTTTTGTGTCACCCACAGGGTATGCGTTTTTTATAATTTCTCATCTTGATATGCCAAGATGTAAATGTTATATTGCATGTATATGTATATATGATCAATCAATGCAGATTTAGTATGTGTTTAACTATCAGTGACAATCAACTAACAGTTGTTTGAGTATGAGATGTTTATGAACCTCTTATGTGATTATATTACTGCATATCATATGTATGCATTGGTTTGATAATGATATCTTAATTGTTCTTTGCAATATTTGATTTACCCATGTGTATATATGTGAATGTGTTTGGAAATATTGACTGTATATTTTGTGGTTATTATTACAGAGTGTCACATGCCACAGCGACACAACAAATAAATACATCTCTCACGACCCGCCGCCTTGGTCATTTTTTTACTGGACCAGCACAGGCTGCAACACTCAGAGGTCAAATTTCTTTACACTGTTAATTAATTTCAACAACCTTCAACTAGTTACCAGTTAGACACTGACACTGACACTGGGGATGGGTAGAGAAGGGAGGGGTGTCTTGGCATCTGAGGGATGGGGTGCAAGCAGTTCACAGCATAACTTGGTGGCGTTTTAGGCAGCTGTGATTCAGTGATTGAGAAGGCACATTCATTTGTGACATGACAGTATCTGTGCAAGTATTTACAGCAAACACAAGTAATAAGTTCCCATAGGTCATCAGTTTGGTTTAGATGTGTCATGTATATGCAGGATTTAACTTTGCTACAAAAGTTGTTTGCATACATTTAATTCAGTTTACCACAAGTTTAATACTTTGTAAATATAATCTGGACATAGAAAAGTATTTTATGAATAACATCAGGTTTGCTACATTTGAAATGTACACCATAATTAGTCCAGTCATCCTGGTTAGATTTTGACCTAACCCACCACAAATTGCAACAGAAATGATTTCAACTGTTTTAAGACCCTGAAGCATTCCTTTATAACATATAAAAAGTCTAGGAAAATCTCAGTGGTGGAACAAGGTCAAATTCGACCCTCAAGGTCATAGGGGTCATCTTCACTTTCGAAATCTTAGATGGAAAAGCAAACTTTTTTGTGGTCTACTTAATTGTGTCATGTTATATACCAAATTAAAGCTCAGATTACAGGCTTTTCAGAAATATATGGTTTTGTAGGATCAGTCTCATCATATTGTTGTTTTTTTAAAACAAAACATTACGAAAAATATGAAAATCGTATCCGGACATCCACATTTATATGTATGCTACGATTATGCAAAAAAATTCATTTTTCGATTGTGTGACATTTTTTAACATGAAGAATTATTGTAATAAATATGTATCAACCAATAGTCATTCCAAATAATAATGAAATAGAATGAACGATCAATGTTTTATATCACCACATTTTCATCAAGTACAATTATGAAAAACAAGTCATTTTGTCGATTGAAACTTATGTAAAAGAGTTGTCTATTACTCAACTTCATAAATGGTATTTCATTATGAATTACCTGCATCCATTAGCTAATCTTGTTTTACAGAATGGCAACGTCCTTTTCCAAATTATTTTACAACAGTTCCCTGATTGCATCATTCATCCCTGAGGCCAAGCCTTTGAGCACAAGTGAGTGCATCTCAATCCATGTCTCTTACATGTGCATCTTTTAGAATTGCAAATATTTGTTTTACAGTTGCATATGATCATTGTCAACAGTTCCTTTGGAGCTGGGGGAAGATCTGCAAGATTAGGATCCTTTTGCCATCTCTGAACCATCCTTAATCTGTCAAACTAAGCGGATGGTAATTTCCTTTCAACTCTTGAATCTGAAAGTAAGCCCGGCGACTGACACTTGACTGCTGTTGACGTGGCGAACGATTCTTAGGATAAACATGCATCTGGCTTGAGGCTATTTTGTCACAAAAACGTCTGTGAGTAAGTTCAGACTTTCACCCGTTTCTCCATACAGGAGACAAACCATGGCCTTCCCTCCAGCTTGAATGATTTGTATTGCTGTTCATATTCGATGGATTCTTGATGTCGTATCACAGCCTAAGACAGGATGTATGAACAAGAATGCTTCATGCTTCTTGGTTTCGCTGGTGTTCCAAAATGGAATTCTTTTCAAAGAACTTTTCTTGGGTGTTGACTGCAAGAAGATATCATGCGATTCCAGATTTGTGTTACCAGCAGATCCGTATCGTCCCCTACGAGAACTGACTGGCATGCCAGTGAAACTGTTGTTTGAAATATCACAACATCAGCATCACCAGTGGCTTGAACTGTGTCACATCCTTCAGCTTCTAGATAGGAACACATCATCATGATGAACCGTTGTTTGTTCTGAACATTGGCGTGGAATGACTCTTTCTTTGATTGTAAGATCATACTCTCATCAAATTTAACCAAATTTAAGTCCACCACTCCGTCTCATTTGTGTTGTATACTTTGTCCATGAACTTGAGTATCCATTCAACACAACAGTATATCTGTCATAGTGTCTTTTGACATGTGTGCAGTATGTGGCCAAGGTAGAGTATTCAGCAAAGCCCCGCCATCGAGATACATACACAGCATCAGAAGCTGGACCACGGGAAACACCGTCATCTAATGTTGATATGAATGAAGTCAGGGCAGGTTTGTTTTCTTCCTTCAGGAAAGAGGGAGAATCAAACAGTGCAGGTGGATATCTGCAAAGTTCAAACTTTAGCAAATATTGGAGGTAGTGTGTTCACTGGCCATCGGCAATCAGAAACCTTTGAAACAATAAAACTGGATCAATGTACAAATTTCTTCATCTTATGGTGTAACAGGATTCTCGTTCATTTGTACAGCTTGATATTTCCTTTTGAATTTGAAGTCGCCAGTGCTAACCAAACTCAACATGCATAATCTGCATTCACAGTTTCACTTGCAACAACTCCATTTGCAGTGTTTCTGAGGTCAGGACCTTGTTTGAAAGGGCCTCTGTCATGAAGGAAATGGAGAAGTTTCATGGCATCATTCTTGTCTCTCTCCTGTCTTGCATTAGACATGTCCTTGTGTAGTTCAGAGTTTCTGTTTCCACTACTTGTAAGATCACTCCTGGCATTGCTGACTTCCAAATATGATGACATTGACACAAGCTTCTGCGTTTCAGACATGCCTGTCCCCTTGTAAGTCCTCCATTTGTTTTCATGTTCCGCATGAGCACCTGTTCAATCAACAAGATCTGTTGGAAATCCTCCCCAATAACAATTGGAGCGGCGGATAACATGATGACCTGAGTTGAGTTCAAAGGTCTTGGGATGTGTGTCTTGCAGGGAGGTCATCATCTATGAAATACACAATGCCATTTAGAATGTGCCCAAATGTAACATATGTTATATTTGGGATTACACTTTTTCTTTGTAAAGTACAGATTTTAGTACTTTTGTTGGGTTGAGGCCTATTCAGGATTCGAACCCACACCCTCAGAGTCAGGCACCTAATCGCCAGCACACAAAGTCAGACGCCTAGACCGCTCAGCCACCGCGGCTTCCACAAAAGAAAGCGTAATCCCAAATATAACATATGTTACATTTGACCACTTTCTAAATGGCATTGTGTATTTCATAGCTTTTGGCCGTGGGAGCCGTGCCAATTAACACTTATCAGAGGGGTACACAAAGTCCGCAGTCTAGACTACCAGTTGTCTGACTTTCATTTTTGTGGAAGCCGCGGTGGCTGAGCAGTCTAGGCGTCTGACTTTGTGTGCTGGCGATTAGGTGCTTGACTCTGATGGTGTGGGTTCGATTCCCCCGGATGGGACTCAACTCAACAAAAGTACTAGAATCTGTACTTTACAAAGAAAGTGTAATCCCAAATATAACATATGTTACAGGTCATCATCTGAAGGTACAACCGAACTGCTTTGGTGTACAAGTTATGACCAGCTGCTGCAAATAATGGCAACATCTCAGCAATAGACTTTAGGTGCATCTTCCAATTTCCTTATCCTTCAGCTTTAATGAAAATCTGTAAGATATCCACCATGTTCATGTACTGGATCCAAAGATTTGCTGTCCTCATATTGCTAAGCACATCTTTTTCTTGGTTAACACGACGAAGGATGCTTTCTAATGTGTTTGAAGAAGATACTTCCCCAACAGTCAAGGATTCACTCACCAGCTCATTTTACAGCACTGTCGCATGTTGAGATCCTCATCAACAGTGAACGGGAGTGGCAAGGTCGGCTTCATCAGAAGGTTTACGGAAGCTAGGAAGGCTCACATTAAAAGTTCTTGATACCAACAGACCATTGCGAGCTGTGTCTACAAGAAAGTGAGCTCGAATAGCTCTGGCAACAACTTTCCTTGTTAGTATGTGACTAACACGGTGCAAAGTTCAAACAGACCCGATCCAGACATGATGTTTCCAATTCATCCAAAAAGCTTATCTGTGTGTGAATACCTCCAGTCCTTAGGACAACGTTCTTGAAAACACTTGATGAAGGCTCACTGGAAATTATCATTGTCATTTGGTGTGACATTGTTTTTCATCCACTTTGTGACAGACTGGGGATGGAAAAGAGATGGCAAAAGGATCCTATCCTTGTACTTGATGAAAATGTGTTGATATATAACATTGATCGTTCATTCTATTTCATTATTATTTGGAATGACTATTGGTTGATTCCTATTCATCACAATATTTCTTCATGTTAAAAATTGTCACACAATTGAAAAAGGAAAATTTTGGCATAATCGTTGCATACATATACATGTGGATGTCCGGATACGATTTTCATATTTTTCGTAATGTTTTTTTCAAAAAAAGAATCAATATGATGAGACTAATCCTTATTTCTGAATATATAAATATATTTCTGAAAAGCCTGTAATCTGAGCTTTAATTTGATATATAACATAACACAATTGAGTAGATTACAAAAAAGTTTGCATTTATCTCTAATATTTCGAAAGCGAAGATGACCTCTATGACCTTGATGGTCGAATTTGACCTTGTTCCACCACTGAGATTTTCCTAGATTTTTTATATGTTAAAAAGGAATGCTTCAGGGTCTTAAAACAGTTGAAATCATTTCTGTTGCAATTTATGGTGGGTATTCTCATAAAATGACTGGACTAAATAGGCTTGAGCTTTTGGTGAAGAGCAAGATGTGAGATGAATATATTACCTATTACCTATTGATATAACCTTGCAAAGTACATGATGGTGTATAACAACGAATCATACCCCACCAAGAAGATGCTTTCCTTAAAGGTCACATGCAACGTAAAACACAACTTTGCAGATTCTGATACCTTTCGGTATGGACTTACCAAAACAAAGCGTCAAAAATGCAAATTCAACTTATAAAGTTGAAAAAAAACGCAATGAAAAAAAACGCGTGAAATCGGAGTTCAAACGTTTCACTTATTTTCCCCAGACTTTTCTGGGGAATACGGGTTTCAACAGCTGGGCTGCGCTCATAGCACGTGCGCAGTGAAATAGGTCCGTGCAACTTGGAAGCGGGCTGTCCAGTGAATACTCGGTGAAGGCTTTGGTGTGAGCTATTTTCATAATGTTTTGTTGATATCTCACAGAGGCGTGAGCTTTTTATATGTTATGACAGTAAATAAACTGTTTATATAATTTCATTTGTCTATTTCACCACACGTTCTTCTTACCGAGTCACTTTCTCAGTTCGATACTTAAAATGCACAGTGTTCCCGGTGGTTTTGAAAATTACCGGCGGCATATGCCGACGGGGTCTGAAAATTCCAGCTGAACTAGTTTTTTTCCGGAGAGACAAAGTAATCAGTATTCGTAACGATATACTGTTAATAAATGTGTTGAAAAGTCTGCCGTACGTGTTGCTTGTTTTTCGAGAATGTTCATTAGACCAGAGACCATATGGTCTCTGATTAGACCTACATTACAATTGACACAATCAGAAAATGAAAGCGATCCAACTAAATTCGATAAATGTGTTCAGAATGTCATTCGCTATCTAAATGACTGTGAAATGTGCAAATAATTAATGTTTATATACCTGTGGTGAACTTCAATCTGCATTTCACGAGTTGAAAACAACGATTCTCGGACACATGCTTCTGCAGCGGGTCCACAATAACATTGCCAAAGAGCAAAGTAACGATGTTTCGAGGAATTCATTGAATAAATTGAATAAACTAATGAATAAAATCAACTACAACATTCATAAAAGTTGTCAAACGTACATATAAAATTACTATTTCCATCTTTTTGTGCGATCATGTAATGTAAGTCAAGTCACTGACAACTGACATCTCGGCTCTCGACGCCTCAATCTTCACTCTCGGACACGATGTTTAATGCGAAAATATATACAGGAAGCATTTTTGTCACAGGTCATAACCTAGCACGATACGTCCAATAAGTTCCACAATTTACGTATAGGTAGCGATTTCTTGCTTAATATGTTCAGAATAGCATTATTTTACCCAAAACTTTTGTCTAAATCTAAAGGTTTTCGTTTACGAGGACGGTATCCATTGCTGTAATATGATTGGCTGCTTTAGGTCACGTGTCTGATTTTGACCAATTACGACCCTTATAGCAGACTGTGGCGAAAAAGCGTCATTAGAAACCAATCTTTATCCAATAAAATCGCTTCTTACAACTGTGAAAAAACTCTAGAGTCTATATTTAGATGTGGGATTGACACCCTAGTTTTCAATACGTTTGCATAATGATCTGAAGAGAACAAAGAATAAACAAAGACATTGTTAACTGCAAGTTTAATTGAATCTGCCGATAAAAGGCAACTTTAAGCAATACAAAATTTACCGGCGGCAGCTACCGACGGCAGTTGAAAATACCGGATCTTCACAATTTTTATCGGTAAAAATCCGGTAATTACCGGAGAACGGGAACACTGATGCAATGTCATTATTTAGCGTTGACACAATTTCTAACTGTGATATAGATATGTCGCTGTCACAGACAAACCTCAATGTCTTGTTTTATTGACACCTGTGTGTCTGCCTGCCTGTCTGCTAATGACAATATTCAATACACAACTGCGATCACTGACCACATGCAATTTGAACTTAACACCAATCAGGCTATACACCATAAACAAAATGCATTGATTTATGGCCCGAGTTCGGTCTCTGTCACATTATGTAATTAAACAGACAGGCAGGTGTGATACTTGAACACATGACATGCTATGATGTCTGTTGATTGCAAAATGTTATGCACAAATAATGAGCATGTATTTACAAAACCCAACATCTCTATATATACACACACAATGAGCCGTGAAGGAGGCATCTGCTAATGAACCAGCCGTTACACTTGAGTGCACACCCACCCGCTCTGACTGGGTTCGGTATCCCGGCTGCTTCGTTTCGAGGGAGGTAAACCCAAGTACAAAATATTGCACTTTTGATTTGCGATTATAATTTTGTTTATTTGTTTTTTCATAATCAGCAATGCATATTATATGTCATGAAGAAGTGATAATTGTGTTTTAATTATGTTTGATTTTTTGGTTGCATGTGACCTTTAAACATGAATGCTGTAAGTGACATTTCATTATTATCAACAAGTATCATTACATATCTAGGATGCATTTCTCACATTTACTGCAAACATCAAGTTGTATATAATATGTATTGGAGAAAGAAAATTCCTCTATTTAATAATCCAATGATTATATGTAATATGAACATTTCACTTAATTCATACATGTATATAACTCTAACAGTTGATTTTAAGAAAATATCAAGTATGTCAATCTGATGACATTATGCAAAGGTTGATTATGACCTATGATCACCATATAGACAGATAGCCATTATCTTGGGATGTGAGTGTTTGTCTCTTCTAGACTTGCTTGAGCTAAATTGTTACAAGTGGAAACTCCTAGTTAAAACAGAAAGTTTCATTGGTCTGTTAATGGCTGAAGCAACTGAATACAGGCTAGCTAGTGCAGCACTGACTGTGCAGACTTCCCATAAACATATCAACTGATACTTCCCTAATTGCTACTGAGTAGCTGTCTGTTCAGATCTGACCCGTGAAGATCCGGGGTAGAAGGCGACTAACGGGATCGGGTGGTCAGTTTCGCTGACTTGGTTGACACATGTCATCGGTTCCCAATTGCGCAGATCGATGCTCATGTTGTTGATCACTGGATTGTCTGGTCCAGACTCGATTATTTACAGACCGCCGCCATATAGCTGGAATATTGCCTAGTGCGGCGTAAAACTAAACTCACTCACTCACTCACTGTTCAGATCTGCTGCTGCTCACTGGATTGTTGATATATGAATTCCAAGGAGAAACTGACTCCATGGAAGCTGTGAGAACCTCTGTTAATTTGAGCAAGGTGATTAGCTCAGTTAGGGAATTTTGTGGGAGAAATAATAATACTTTGTGAAAAGATTTGTAAATCTGTGAATCAATTTTGAGTGGAATGTATATGCCTAAGTCATTTCGTAACTTTAGCAGTGAATGTAAATAGATAGTGTGTCTAAGTTTTTACCCTTGTACAACATATATTTTAGTGTTAAAGTTGGACCCATTAAAGCATTAGGTGTGAGGTTTAATGAATGTGTCTACTGTTGGACAAGTGATCTGCTTGATTGCCATTTTAGAAGTTAATAATAAGAAAGGTATGATAGTCTATGGATAACAACTTCTTTATTATATCATATTCTTATTTGACAAGTAATTTAGGAATGACTTTTGAGTAAGCTCTTACCTGTAAAAGTTTGGGTGATAGACTAGCATGTTCAGCAATCCAGTGATTTTAGTTTGTAAGTTTGATAAAAGGAACTGGAATATATGTTAGGTGTGTGTTATTTTATGATTTTGTGTCAAGAACAGATTTTGAGTCATGAGTAATATACATGTAGTTACAGGTATGCAGTAGTAACTGAAGATGGGACAGCTCATTATGATCAGTAATGTTTGCCAGTTCCTAACCTACCATACAAATGAGGATGCCAATAAAATCTTAATAGGTACTAGGAATAGGTTTCAAGTACTGAGCTCTCTTATTTACATCCTCAGTCCAAAGTCACATATATGGCATGACTATCATGGCCTTTACTTTTCATTGATATTGGTATAGCATACTTATGATGCAGATTCCTAAACAAACACCTTTGACTTGTTGCAAGTAGCAGTATTTAACGAAATGTCATAATGAACAACAATGTTATGTGCTGTGTGTTCAATCACAACAATTACGCAAAATTCTTTTTGTTTTCTGCCTGTGGAAAGAACCTGCATATCATTATATACATGATGTTATATGCATACAGATGTATACCTGCTTTCTTTGAAACATCTGTGTTAAGGCAAAATGAAAATAGAACAAGAACAAGATGTTTATTCAGCATCATAGGCCACATGGCAAAGAGTACAAATCATCCTTTGTGCACAAGGGTAGGTGTTATCTTAATGCAGTGAAAATATAGAGCATTTAAAATATGGCATTTCGTTTTACAATATACCAATGTGCAGGATTTAAATTATGGAAGAAGGATCGGTTTCAGTTAAATTGATATTACTGCAATAAAGTCATAATGACTTGCAGACAGTATCCAGTGGTAATATAACATTGATGTCATACTGCCCAGCTTCCAGTGGTAACATAACATCGATGTCATACTACCCAGTTTCCAGTGGTAACATAACATTGATGTCATACTGCCCAGCTTCCAGTTGTAACATGACATTGATGTCATACCGCACAGCTTCCAGTGGTAACATGACATTGATGTCATTCTGCCCAGCTTACAGTGGTAACATAACATTGATGTCATACTACCCAGTTTCCAGTGGTAACATAACATTGATGTCATACTGCCCAGCTTCCAGTTGTAACATGACATTGATGTCATACTGCACAGCTTCCAGTGGTAACATAACATTGATGTCATACTACCCAGTTTCCAGTGGTAACATAACATTGATGTCATACTACCCAGTTTCCAGTGGTAACATAACATTGATGTCATACTGCCCAGCTTCCAGTGGTAACATAACATCGATGTCATTCTGCCCAGCTTACAGTGGTAACATAACATCGATGTCATACTACCCAGTTTCCAGTGGTAACATAACATTGATGTCATACTGCCCAGCTTCCAGTTGTAACATAACATTGATGTCATACTGCCCAGCTTCCAGTGGTAACATGACATTGATGTCATACTGCCCAGCTTCCAGTGGTAACATAACATTGATGTCATACTGCCCAGCTTACAGTGGTAACATGACATTGATGTCACACTGCCCAGCTTCCAGTGGTAACATGACATTGATGTCATACTGCCCAGCTTACAGTGGTAACATAACATTGATGTCATACTGCCCAGCTTCCAGTGGTAACATAACATTGATGTCATACTGCCCAGCTTCCAGTGGTAACATAGCATTGATGTCATACTGCCCAGCTTCCAGTTGTTACATGACATTGATGTCATACTGCACAGCTTCCAGTGGTAACATAACATTGATGTCATACTACCCAGTTTCCAGTGGTAACATAACATTGATGTCATACTACCCAGTTTCCAGTGGTAACATAACATTGATGTCATACTGCCCAGCTTCCAGTGGTAACATAACATTGATGTCATACTACCCAGTTTCCAGTGGTAACATAACATTGATGTCATACTACCCAGTTTCCAGTGGTAACATAACATTGATGTCATACTGCCCAGCTTCCAGTGGTAACATGACATTGATGTCATACTGCCCAGCTTCCAGTTGTAACATGACATTGATGTCATTCTGCCCAGCTTACAGTGGTAACATAACATTGATGTCATACTGCCCAGCTTCCAGTGGTAACATGACATTGATGTCATACTGCCCAGCTTCCAGTGGTAACATAACATCGATGTCATACTGCCCAGCTTACAGTGGTAACATGACATTGATGTCACACTGCCCAGCTTCCAGTTGTAACATGACATTGATGTCATACTGCCCAGCTTACAGTGGTAACATAACATTGATGTCATACTGCCCAGCTTCCAGTGGTAACATAACATTGATGTCATACTGCCCAGCTTCCAGTTGTAACATGACATTGATGTCATACTGCCCAGCTTACAGTGGTAACATAACATTGATGTCATACTGCCCAGCTTCCAGTGGTAACATAACATTGATGTCATACTGCCCAGCTTCCAGTGGTAACATAACATTGATGTCATACTGCCCAGCTTCCAGTTGTAAAATGACATTGATGTCATACTGCCCAGCTTCCAGTTGTAACATAACATTGATGTCAAACTGCCCAGCTTCCAGTGGTAACATGACATTGATGTCAAACTGCCGAGATTCCAGTGGTAACATGACATTGATGTCATACTGCCCAGGTTCCAGTGGTAACATGACATTGATGTCATACTGCCCAGCTTCCAGTTGTAACATAACATTGATGTCATACTGCCCAGCTTACAGTTGTAACATAACATTGATGTCAAACTGCCCAGCTTCCAGTGGTAACATGACATTGATGTCAAACTGCCGAGATTCCAGTGGTAACATGACATTGATGTCATACTGTCCAGGTTCCAGTGGTAACATGACATTGATGTCATACTGCACAGCTTCCAGTGGTAACATAACATTGATGTCAAACTGCACAGCTTCCAGTGGTAACATAACATTGATGTCATACTGCCCAGCCTTCAGTGGTAACATGACATTGATGTCATACTGCCCAGCTTCCAGTGGTAACATAACATTGATATCATACTGCCCAGCTTCCAGTGGTAACATAACATTGATGTCATACTGCCCAGCTTCCAGTGGTAATAGACCCATGAAGATCTGGGTTAGAATTTATCTTCAGCAACCCATGCTTGTAAGGGGCGACTAACGGGAACGGATGGTGAAGCTGCTGAAGTGTTGACACATGTCATCCTATCAAAATTGCGTAGATCGATGCTCATGCTCTTAAGCACTGGATTGTCTGCTAATATCGTGAACATTTTTATTAGGCCATATTCTTGCATGATCTAAAAGTGTATTATGACTTAACAAGTCGGAGACAGGTATATTTATGACCCTTGAAAATTCACTACAACTTTTTTTTGTAGTGACTGTGAAGATTTATTGGCCCGACTGGATTTTTGGTAGCCACGGGCTAGCGGGCCAGTGGCTATTTAACGGTGTGGTTCTGGGAAGGCTAAAATTTATTTTTCAGATGTCCCGGGATGGCTAAAATGTATATTTCGGATTTCCCGGGAGAGCTAATTTCCGCGGTGTAGGTGAGTACCGCCAAAGCTAAAGATACGGTGCCGGGAAGCATAATCCATGTCGGGAGTAGATAGATTTCTTATCAAAACATTTTGTTAATTACCGTTATCTGTACTCTGTACTGTATAATAATATTTTTATAAATTGCTCATTTAGATGAGTTGCACAGATCACTAAAGATAAACTCAATAGCCTGATCATTATTTCTTTGTTTTATAACTATTAGATAATCTAGTGGTAATTCCTGTCTTAACCATATTCAGTTAATCCAATGTTTGAAAAAATACCTTTAACCTGATACGCCAATTTTCTTACACCACAGGTGTCCACCTCCTCATACAAATACTCACAACAACCCCTTAAAATGCAATTTTCAGACACAAGAAGCTTACACCAATATTTAATCATGCTATATTGCCTTTTACATACGAGCGGATAATGATGGAATTACATGCTTACTTCTTAACTCCTGAAAACCTTTTGCAAAAATCCAAATGCAACCTATCAATATTTAAGCCTTTATTATATCCCCCATATCTCAGACGCATAAGATAGTATACTACCATCATAACGATCAAAGACAAATAAAAGACATTCCAGGTTGAGAGAGAGCGACCTGATATTATTGCAAATTGAAAAGGGGGCCTTCCTACCCTGGTCAGGCAACTGCAGCTGTGCCTTTGAGAATCGGTTATTATAATTAAAACCTATTCCTAAATGTAAACGTATCGACAACCTCTAGGACACAACCATTATATATAACTAACGTTCTGACGATTTAACTTTACCACCTCTTCTGAAGACCATTATCTTTGTTTTAGCAATATTTACTTCAAGTTCCCACTGTGTGGAATAAGCTGACAACGAATTCAACTGTGTTTGCAACCTTTCAACAGATTCAGAAAAATAACAAGATCTTCAGCATACATAAGCAGAAACGTATTTAAAGATTTAAACTCGTGAGGTATACATTTATCTTTTAGGAAAGGCTCCTCAAAATGAACTATCTAATGTCGAATTAAAGAAAATGTGTAATGAAGAATAGACGTGAAAATGTGTACATAACTTTATTTATATGTTTATATGTGTTCAAATTAAAGAGCGTCACCGTTAATCCTATTTTCTCTGTACTTTGTCAGAGCCTCCGAGTGAGGCGCGCTGTGTTCATTCAGCCATAACATTGTATTGCAAGTACCGCGAAAGCTACGCTCATTGAGCCGAGAAGCGTGACGATTTTAGCCTTATATATAACACCTCTCCTGTCTTTCATTCTGTGTGGAGTTCTGTGTGATGTTCATTAGAGGATTATATGTTATTTAATTATCCATGTTATACATGATGTGTTTACTCTCATTGCAGATCTCCATCATTTATGATCGACCGTGAATAAACAGTCATCTGTAAAAAGTATTGCCTTATTATTTATGATGGAGATCTTTCACTTCTGCAACTTGGTACATCAGAGATTCTAACCTACAGTTTCAAGACACAAACATGCCAGTCGTTGGATGCCCTATTCCGTCATGCGACTTCGTGACAGAAGACCTTGATTCTGTGGTGGTAGCAGCACTCTTAACAGCACATGCAACAGTCCACACTACAGGACCTGCCATCTCTGCAAAAGTAGAAAAAGTGAAACGACCAAGCATATCATCTGCTGGAGCAAGCGAAGATTGGTCATACTTTCAATCCAGATGGAAAGACTATGTCCAGGCGACCAAGGTCACAGGGAAGGACCGCGTTGTACAGCTTCTTGAATGCTGTGACGAGACACTGCGCAGAGATCTCACACGTTCGGCTGGCGGATCCCTCACAGAAAAATCCGAGGAAGATGTCCTGAAGGCCATTAGACTCCTTGCTGTCAGAGAGGAGAACACCATGGTAGCTCGTTACCCTCCACAGCATGACTCAGGATCGAGATGAAACTGTTAAGCTCTTCGGGTGCAAGGCTAAGAGGTCAGGCTGGCGTCTGCAAATTCACCATTGCATGTCCAGGGTGCCATCAGGAGGTGAACTACACAGAGACAATCCTCATGCGACGTACTCACCCGTGGACTAAATGACCCTGAAATCCAGTTAGATCTCCTTGGAGACAAGAACCAAGACATGAATCTCGAACAGGTGTTTCAATTTGTGGAAGCCAAGGAATCAGGCAAACGCTCGGCATCTCGACTTCTGGACTCCCAGTCTGTGGAAGCTGTTAGCAGTGGCTACCGAAGAAACAAGAACACAGCTGTTAATTCATCCAAGAATCTGGATACGTCCGAGTCATGCTTCTACTGTGGAAGAAAGGGGCATGGAAAAAGTCGTCCCTGAAAATCAGGAAAAACACTGTCCTGCCAGGTCGGTCGCATGTGTTCATCCTGTAACCGCTACAATCACTTTGACACAGTGTGCCAGAGCAAAGTGAAACTGAGAGCTGAGAAGCCCCCACGGACGGTTGAGGAAAATGAAGGTGCGGTCTTTGACATGCTCTGCTCACTCACTGACATCAGCTGGCGCCAAGGAAAGAAGACACTTCACCTTGATCACCACCTATATGATCAGCTGACGGAAACATTGACTAAACAAGCCTCCCGGCCCCAGCCCTTCCTCAACCTATCGATGGCTGTCCATGCAGAAGACTATGACAGACTAGGCTTTGGCTCAATGTTATCCTCAAGACCAAGAAGAGCCTCTGTTGTCGTCATGGCAGACACAGGTTGTAAGAGCTGCCTTGCTGGCATTAAGATCGCACACAAACTTGGACTGAAAACACAGAATCTCATTCTGGTGACTCTCAAGATGCGTGCTGCCAATAACAGGGGTATCAATATCCTTGGTGCCCTCATCACAAGGCTGTATGGCAGGAGCCCAACAGGGAAAACAATTGAAACCAGACAGGTGGTCTATATCACAGACAACTCTGACAAGTTCTTCCTCAGTCATGAGGCTTGTATCTCACTGGGGATGATCACAGGAAATTTTCCCACAATTGGGGAAGTGCCCAGAAATGACAGCTTCGATGATGATTCTACACTAAGCGATGCTTCAGAGATAAATGATGTGAAATGTGACTGCCCAAAGCGTGGACCACCTCCTAAATTGCCAACCAAACTACCTTTCCCTGCAACAGAAGAGAATCGCGGTAAACTGGAAGAATACCTACTTGACCTCTATAAGTCCAGCACATTCAACATCTGCGAGCACCAACCTCTCCCCCTCATGGATGGACCTCCCATGAAACTGATGGTTGATCTGGACGCCCAGCCTGTTGCTCACCACACTCCTGTCCCTGTCCCACTTCACTGGCAGAAAGACGTCAAAGCCGGACTAGACCAGGATGTCAGACTAGGTGTGCTGGAGCCAGTGCCAATTGGAGAACCGGTTACATGGTGCCACAGAATGGTCGTCTGTCAAAAGAAGAATGGCAAGCCGCGACGCACTGTTGACTTTCAGGCTCTCAATGCCCATGCCATTAGAGAGACACATCACACACAATCCCCCTTCCACCAAGCCAGATCAGTGCCACAGAATAAGAAGAAATCTGTCTTCGATGCTACCACAGTGTCCCCATTTGAGATGAGGACAAACACCTTACCACATTTATCACCCCATGGGGCCGATATAGATATCGCACTGCTCCACAAGGATATATCGCCTCCGGAGATGGATACACAAGACGCTTTGACGAGATTGTGTCTGATGTGCCAAACAAAGCCAAGTGTGTGGATGATGCACTCCTGTGGGCTGATGACATTGAGAAATCCTTCTTCCAGGCATGTAATTGGCTTGACATCTGTGGAAGGAATGGCATTACTTTAAACCCTGAAAAGTTCACTTTTGCACAAGACACTGTGGAGTTTGCAGGCTTTGAGATTACTTTCGTACCAGTGTTCAACCTTGCTAGCGGAAGTACCTACAGGCCATCATGGACTTTCCTACACCAAAGAACATAACGGACATGCGTTCTTGGTTTGGACTCGTCAATCAAGTGTCATACGCATTCAGCATGGCTGAGAGGATGCAGTCTTTTCGTCAACTTCTAAAGCCTGGAACACCATTTCGTTGGGATGACAATCTGGACCGCTTGTTTCAAGAATCCAAGACCGTCATTGTCAATGAGATTGAGAAAGGTGTGCGCATCTTTGACGCAAACAAACTGACCTGTCTTGCAACAGACTGGTCGAAACACGGAATTAGATTTTGGCTCTTCCAGAAGCACTGTCAATGCCCAAAGACCCTGCCATTTTGCTGTAGAGATGGATGGAAAATCACCCTGGTAGGAAGTTGTTTCACCCACGCCGCGGAATCCCGCTATGCACCGGTCGAGGGGGAAGCACTAGCAGTGGTTGATGCCCTGGAGAAAGCAAGGTATTTTGTCCTTGGATGTAATGATTTGACCATTGCAGTTGACCACAAACCTCTACTAAAGATCTTTGGGGATCGATCACTTGAATGCATCTCGAATGCTCGACTACGTAACCTGAAGGAAAAGACCCTGCGGTACAAATTCCACGTGGTTCACATCCCCGGAGCCAAACACAGAGCTGCCGATGCTGTATCTCGTCACCCAACTGGTAACCCTGAGAGGATAGTTCTCGTGGATGATATTGCAGCCATGGACTGTACTGAACTTTCCCCTTCTCTGGATGTTTGTCATAACATCCTTGCCTCCATCAGATGCAGTGAAGAGCCTGACTACAGTGTAGAGGATGCCACTCTCCAGTCTGCTGCATCTGCAGAGCCACTGTTGTCTTAGACAAGGACCACTTCCACTCCATGGTGGATAACCTCCTAGATGACACCTCAACCTACCAAATGATGAAGAGGGATCCGACTACAAAGCTCAACCGTCAGCATAAGGCCACGCTAAAAACGCTGCATGATAAATATGAACTCTCAACAGACCTGTATCGTAAACTCACAGTATCTCACCCCCAGCCACCTTATGCCAGAGCAACAGTCAAAATCCACAAGAACCCCGTTAAAACTCGTCTACTAGTCTGTTCCCGTGACACTGTATTCTACAGTACTGCCCAGCACCTTACCCAAGTACTCTCCCCATTAGGTAAATCTGCCAACTCCTTCATCAATGATTCAACTGACTTCTGCTCCAAGATCCGTGACATCACCAACCCAGGTCAATCATCAGCTCTGACGTTGTGGACCTATTCACCAATGTACCTCGGGATGAAGCCCTTCAAGCACTCGTCACAGAATTGACAACCTCCAACAACCCCTCAACACCAGCCTCTCTACCGACTCTATCATCAGCCTCACCTCCGCCTGCATCAACTCCACCTACTTCACCTGGGGCGATGCCATCTATGAGCAAATCCACGGACTTCCCATGGGCTCCCCACTATCCCCATCCTAACAGAAATTTACATGGCCGACCTGGAAGAAGGCCCTAGAAACTACACCCTTCAAACCATCCTGCTGGTACGCCAAAGTGGATGACACCTTCGTCGTCCTCCAACCTCAGCAAGATCAAAGCAGCTCCTCGCCCATCTCAACAGCCAACATCCCGCATCAAATTCACCATTGAAACAGAGCAGAACAACCAACTACCTTTCCTTGATGTCCTTGTGTCCCGCACCTCCTGCAACCAACTCCAGACCTCCGTGTACAGAAAACCAACTCATACGGATCAATACATCCACTACAACTCCAACCACCCACCTAAAGTCAAGACCGGCGTCATCTCCACATTGACCAGAAGAGCCAAAAACATCTGCTCAACAAACCTACAGGAAGAAATTGAACACCTGAGGGAAAGTCTTTGTGGAGCATAGCCACTACCCACCTGAAATAGTCAACAGAACCATCGAAGCAGCGCTTTCACCTCCTGCCAAAGATCTAAACCAGAATCAGCCCCATCAAGATATCCATTCCCTACATTGGTAAACCATCACACCAAATCAGCCGACTCCTGAAACAACAGGCAGGAATAGACACTACCTTCTCAGCGTCCTCCAGCCTCAACAACCTCCTCCATGCCAGCGGAAGAAAACAACCCACCGTCAACAACAACAACCCGAAATGTGTTATTTACAAAATAGACTGTGATTGTGGACAATGCTACATAGGTGAAACATCCGACCCATCAACACCCGAGTCAAAGAACATCAGCACCTCTGTTGCTAATTCCGACACCAAATCAGCTATCTCTGACCACATCAAAGCCAACCCCAATCATCAAATAGAGTGGTCCGACATCACCATTCTCGCCAACAACCAAGCGGACTTCACTAAGCGCAAGCTCACAGAAGCCATTCACATCAAACGCCACAAGCCTACCATCAACCGTGACCAAGGATACTTCATTCCATCTGCTTATGATCCACTCCTCCACCAAGCCCAGTCTATTGTATAAACTTCGCATCCATTGTATAAACATCTCATTGTAACTACATCTCTGGCTTCCATTCACTATCCTCTATGTACTTACTGGCTTCATCAGCTTACTGCTTAGCCAATCATGGCAATTATGTTGTTTCCTTTGTCTATTATGTTGTTTCATTGTTATATACAGTATATATATGCAGCTCCTACACTTCATGTATCACTCTTGCTTGACAACGGTACAAGAATCTGTATCGAAGCGTCGCACTCACGAAAATAAAAAGTTGTTATCCATAAAACTTGTTATATACCAGGGCTGAAATTGGCGTGAAGACAGTCAAGCGCATGATCACTGACAACACCGGACCCCAAGGTGAACTTGACACGGATGCTTTCCAGCGGGCAATGCTTCAGTACAGGAACACCCCAGACAGAGACACAAAGTTATCTCCTGCTATGTGTGTTTTTGGCAGAGCCATAAAGGACTTCATCCCCATCCTACCCGGTCGGTACAAACCTCATGAGACATGGAGCGATACACTATTACTGAGGGAGGAGGCAATGAGAAACCGACATATGAAGATGGCAGAACGTCTCACTCAGCACACCAAACAGCTCCACCTCTGCAGTTGGTGACTTTGTCAGAATCCAGAACCAGATAGGGCCTCACCCGCTCAAATGGGACAAAACAGGATGTGTGGTCGAAGTTCGTCAATTCGACCAGTATGTTGTAATGGTGGAAGCCGGATCAGGTAGAGTGACCCTCACGCAATCAGAAGTTCCTCAGGAAGTACATCCCTGCTTTCAAACCTCCATCTAGGCGCTCAATCGCTGATGACTTGCCAAGGCCACAAACATCTACCCTTGACAATACCACCACCCCATACTATGTCCACATCCGGCTCAGTCAACATCAGAACACGTGACCACACCTACAACTGTCTCTACTGGTGACGAACAAGCGCCTCCGCATCAACAGCCAGTGCCGTCCAGACCAGCTGCTACGCCTGATGTCTCACAATCCACACCACCCTCACCTGATAGATCCCGTCCACTCTGTCCTGTGATCAGAGAACCCACTGTCCTGACAGAGTCCCCAAGCATCGATCCTTCATCGACCCTAACAGTAGACACAAGTGTGATCCACCCACGACGTTCTACCCGCACCAAGAAAAAGCCAAACTGGCTGTCTGATTACGTGCATGTTATTGAGTCAGAATAATCCCTGGGCCAAAGGACAGTCTACCCAGTGAAAGCCCTGAATGCTTTATTGCCAGTTTCTCTCTTTATTCCAGTTTGTTCCAAACGTTTAGACTTTTCCAAATCACTTAAGGACAATTCAAGACATTATGCTTTATTTAACTCAAACCTGAGTTCTAGTCAGAACTGTTTCTTTCAGTCCTTGCCACATCTTTGTCAAGATCCAACAATGACCTGGGGAGGGATAGAGGATTATATGTTATTTAATTATCCATGTTATACGTGATGTGTTTACTCTCATTGCAGATCTCCATCATTTATGATCGACCGTGAATAAACAGTCATCTGTAAAAAGTATTGCCTACTTATTTATTCATCATCCATCATCAAGAAGCCGTCCAGTACTGCACAAATGGTGTGGACAAAGATTGCTTCTCTTTGCGGTTTATCAGTTAATATAAAGGTACAGAAGTCAAATGCAAAGCAGTAATCACTGCTTCTCAGATTTTATATTGTGCAAGTGAATCTTGTGGTGGAACCATTGATTGCCCAATCAGTTAATTGATAGGGTTGTGACAATACATTGACAAGTGTTGGTATGGTTGAAGTTGGATGGTATCATGGTGTATAGTATTACAGGTCTACATGGTAACAGTGCTTGTGATCATTTTGGCAACCTTAGGAGTACATACTCCTAGTTTTGGACAAGCAGGAGTACTGCCACATACCATGATCTGATGGTAGGATTGAATCCTTATTACATGAAAAATTACTTCATACTTCAGTGTGTACAGATAACTCATCAATGTCATAATGCACTATAGGCAATTTCTGAATAAAAGTAACAAATGACTTAAACTGGCTTTTGATTTTTTTAAAATTTTCTATTTGAAGTTCAGCATGAGATGTTAAACCAGTTCAAACTATCATATTTTAATTCATATTTTAGATTCCAATAACCCCATTCACAGAAACATTATTAGTGTCTGCACAGCGACATGCTTCATGTTAGATGCAACAGAATATTAACCGGACTGAGTGAAGGAATTACATTTGCTGTGATGATGTAATATATCTGCAGTTGTAGACATTTGTGTGTGAAATATTTTAATGTTGATCGATATTAATTTTAAATAATGCCTCATGGTGTTAACACATTATTTCTGAATTAGTATTTGTGAGTAAATGAACTGTTTAATCAGTAAGTGTGAATTAAATGTTAATATTAAGTCTAAAGGTTGTTTCCAGATATTGATAAATTGCATAGTTTCATTCATATCTTTGTAGGTTTTATACACATATAACATCTAGTTACAAATATGGGTAGATTTACAAATACAATTCAGGAAATATTCTGTTAATGTAATAAAACATTAGGGAAGCTGGGGATGAATGGGTAAAGACCAAGCAAAAGATACCACCATTTTGTTATTGGTAGTTAAAGTTCATTCACAAGGCATAGGTCTTGTTTACATGTCATTTATTGCATATAGAGCATAATGCATCATCTTCCTGTTACACTTGATGTTTTTGTCATTTAGGCAAAGGTGTATTTGCAACCAGTCATCACAGAAAAGGAGAGTTTTTGCTGGAATATGGAGGGGACAGGTTATCGGGAGAAGAGGGTGAAAAACGCTTGACATGGCCAGTTGTGGGCAGCTTCCTCTTTTTTGTCAAAAGAAACTTGTGGTAAGTTGAATTTGTTGACAAAATTTAGATTTTAAATTTTGATTTCTGTGCTATATAAATAGTTGACTCTAGTCAGAGTGAGTGAGTGAGTGAGGTTAGTTTTACGCCGCACTCAGCAATATTCCAGCTATATGGTGGCGGTCTGTAAATAATCGAGTCTGGACCAGACAATCCAGTGATCAACAGCATGAGCATCGATCTGCGCAATTGGGAACCGATGACATGTGGTCAACCAAGTCAGCGAAACTGACCACCCGATCCCGTTAGTTGCCTCTTACGACAAGATAGTCGCTTTTTATAGCAAGCACATGGGTTGCTGAAGACCTATTCTACCCCGGATCTTCACGGGTCGACTCTAGTCAGACCAGGGAGGACATTTAATAAACACTTTAGAGTAAGGTCACATTATCAGTACAGGGGTACGAAAATCCAATGCCAGACTTGCCCGACTCGTTACAGTGGAATAGCCGGACAACAGAATAATTTTGGTTTACCTGCCCGTGGACACCTAGAACACTGAGGTTACATTTTTCCTAAAATGCCATAAATATCATCAAAGTTAATTTTGACTTATACATATATGTCAGGTTAGAGATTGCGATCGGAGTCTCTACCATCGTGAATGTGACTAAGTGATAACTGCTGATTGCTGTTTACTTCAAAGTTTTGGTAAAGGCTGCATACTTGTAATCAGTTTTGATTGGCTGAGTGGTAAAACTTACAGCCAATGACATAGCATTTAACTATATGAGCAAACATTGGTTTGTAGACAGTTTGGATGGACCAATCTGTGATTAGACAGGGAGGCAGTGATGCTAAGAAAAAGATGTCTGGATCTGAAATACATCACAAGCTGAAAAATATTGTGAATTTAAGAAAGAGTGGAAAGAGAATTTCAAAAGTTTCAGTTTGATGGCGATAACATTGGTTACTCTTATGTTTACCAGGGCTACAGATAAAGGGCGTATGCGTAATGTACCCCTCGAAATCAATTAAGTACGACATAATATAAGATTTCAAGCGTATCGGTAATGCGCACATAAATACCAACACATGCGTCTAACATTTAATTTCCGTCGCGTATCGTGCAAATGGAAATCTATTTAGGATAAATACTTGTTCAGTTTCTTTTGCGAAACACAATTTGACACATAAGGAAACCCTGACAGTAGGAATCCCTTGTGTTGCCTTGCAACGATATGCGTCACTATTTTTCGATTGGCTAAAAACTACACTGTTCCTATTTATATCCAGTCGGACCTGACATTTCCCGCATCACACGGTCGCTCAGTTATTTCTGACGCGTCTTCAAATACAAATACATGGTTGGAAATAGTGATCGATGAATCGTCCAGACAAAACACATCAACTCGCTCACACAAAAACATGACAGTACTCCTTCAAAATTCTCAGTACACCTTCACTTGCAATATGATGTGTAAGTACACTCACCCCCAAAAGTTATCTGGAGCCCTGCAGACCCAATACTACAGGTAGAGCTACAGTCAAACCTGGAATTCCATCCTAGTTCTGCTAGAGTGGAAAGTGGACTGTTAACTCCCTTGCCTTTAGAAGATGTTGTTTTCAGCCACTAGAAGAAATTAGACAAACTGAACTAGAATGTACCATGTCATTGTTACATGCTCCTGTTGGTTGTTGTTGTTGTTTAATGACACACTCAATTAGAATTTAGTCTTCAGCAACCCATGCTTGTCATAACAGGCGTCTGACAGGAGCGGGTGGTCAGACTCGCTGCCTTTGTTGACCCATGTCATTGTGTCCCAGTCGCATAGATCGATGCTCATGCTGTTGATCACTGGATTGTCTGGACTGCTGCCATATAGGTGGAATATTTCTGAGTGTGGTGTTAAACAACAACCGACCAACTAAATACTAGTTGACATAAAAAGTATTAAATTAGTATCTTTCCATCATAACAGTGTTTGAGGTTTGCAGGATGACATCTAAACTGATTGGTTTATGTTCTCCAGGTAATGCTCTGGTCACATTCAAGACGAACACGACCAGTAATGCTCCTCCTACTCTGTACATGTACATCAGCGATGACTGGTACGATGCCGTGGAAGACCTTGACTGTAAACGGAGACTGGGCAAAGCTCGGCTCTGGCGTGAGTATAATACAGATGCTGTGAAGGTTTTACTGATGTGACTGTGGGTCGGCTTTAACGCTGCTGTAGCCACTATTCCAGTTATATTACAGCGTGTCGACAATATTAGAGCAGAGCAAATTGAGGCAGGCCTTCAGGTGTTTACCACTTCAGTAGAACCCTTTAGCATGGAAATGGTGCTGACAAAAATAGACATGGAGATCACAGTTTTATGATGTGCTCAAGGAGTGCAATTCTGACCTCTCAGGGGCGATGGGTTAGCCCAGTGGTTTAAGTGTTTGCTCATCACGCCGAAGACCTGGGTTCGATTCCCACATAGGTACAATGTGTGAAGCCCATTTCTGATGTCCTCCGCCATTATATTGCTGGAATATTGCTAAAACCAGCATAAAACTCCACTCACTCACTTTGGCCTGTGAATTATGTCACCTGGAAAACTGGTCTGTCTGGGCTTTACTGTTTATTTCAAAAGTTATTGAGAGTCATGGTACGTTACTTGCTGAGCAATCTACTTTCAAGACACACCGCATGCATGTCAAATTAAATTAACAGAGCTGTCAAAGTTAGAAGGGACTTCGACCATGCATTTGCAAAAGTTGAACAAGCAGAATTTTATTGATATACCAAACTGTTTGACATTGTGTTCACTTACGTTTATTTGAACGACACTTTCATTCTCGGAATTCTGCAGTAACGTGTAATTTCACCAAAAGCCAGAGACTGAAATCTGCAGCCTGCTTCATGTTTGTCAGTCACTGGATAAAGTGAACCAAGATCATTTGATTGTTAACTTATATTGAGATTATTATACCCCTGCTACGAAGTAACAGGAGTATATAGCGTTCATTCTGTCCGTCTGTCCTTCCGTCCCGAAACTTTGTCCGGAGCATATCACTTAAAGTTGACATGCTAGGTTCACCAAACTTCACACACATGTTAATCATTACCCATTGATGTGCCTTTTGCTATTTTAAATTTTAAATGTGTGCAACATACTGAGAGTCAGTAACATTCTTCACCAACATCCACTTTATTGTGTGCAACATGAGACAGTTTAGTTCAATTATATGTCAGGTTTGCACGGAAAACACCAAAAAACAATGTTTCCATAAATTATTACGGTAATCAGTACATGGCAAAGCTATTATCTACCATGTATATAAAGTTTAGTAGAGTCAAGGAGAAAGTCTTGTGAACTGTTTATCCTTGTCACATTATATATATCAATATCAGTCATTTCCATGCCCCGAAGTGGGGGCATGTGAACTGTGCTCACTTCTACACTTTTTTATAAAAAAAATTGTTTTTATTTCCCCAAAGGTATGGTTGTACAGCACAATTACATCATATGGCATAACAATGTACACCTCACTTCTACACTTGTTACATGAGCAAATGTGTCGTACGACTTATACGAAACGAGTGTGAAATTTTGTATTGCCTGAGCGAGAACGAGGGCAATGCACAATTTTGCACGGATTTCGTGTGGTGTGGCACACTTTTGAGTGTATTAATTTCTTTATTGTCTATTTTATTCATGTACATATGTTCAGTAAAACACGGTAAGCAAGTGTGACTGCCTGTTCATTGACGTCACGTTCAATTGTTTAATGATCTCAGTA